GTATTTGAAGCTAAGGAGTGCATTGGGGCTGGTGGGGACTGTTATAGCAGATTTTGTAAGATTGCTGGGCTCTGAAAGGATGTAGAGATAATTTGATATTGCTTACTCTTCCTGTGGACACACAGCATGAATCTGGAGATAAAGCTAAAGAAAGGAACCAGTTTTTACAGTCAATTCTCAGGAAAGGGTCAGGTGCTCAGACAAGAAACACAAAGGAGAAGGGCTGGCGTGGTGATTGAGTAAGTACACAATCAAGATAGACTAGAATTTACTACAGTAATAAACACCACCAACATCCATGACTTACCAGAATGTGATTTTACTTTTTCTTCATGTAACATTCCCTGTGAGGTACCATGTGGCAGCTTACCATTGTGGTGTAGATCTGTCTTGACATGTTTTTTCCAGGTTTTCCATGGCAAGAGAAGAAATATGTAGAAGATCTCAAACCAGCTACTAAGAGCTTTACTTGGAAATGACTCATGTGACATCTCTTCTACTAATAATCAATTGTTCATAACTACTAAGGGGCTAGAAACTGATCCTCCTGTATGCTTAAAAGGAGCACAGTGAATACAGTCAAGCTCTGATAATGTCTATAGCAGATGGAGGTGTGGGGGTCTTTTTTTGGTCCTTGCTTTTCCCAGGGAAGCTCTTGAAACTATTGTTGAGTCTATGAGAATATCCCCTTTGTAGCAGGGAATAGAGAAGGTGTCTGGGATCTGGGAATGGAGCTGAAACAAAGAGGAGATACATGCTGAAGTTGATCAAATTCAATGTTCTTAGCCAGATCATCTTGATTCCAAGTGTTTTGCAAGTTTATTGTCTGTATCCTCCAAATGTTAATGAAGTCTGTCTTAGCTAACATAGGAGATGGGGAGGAACACAACAACTATGGCTTTTTCTTGCCTGAGCCAGTCAGTGAAGAAGATAAAATTAGGGGCAGGGAAGGGCCAAAATTCCAGAGAAGGTAGTTGCTTTCAGTCAGGAGAATCTCATTCTTATACCAGTCTTAGAAATTCTAGTTTTTATGTTGATTTAAATTGGTTAACTTTCCCTAAGGAACTATATAATCAACATATAGATTTTCCTATCAAAACAACAACTATCTTTTAAATATTTCATCACTATATCCCACGTAGCATCTTGTAGAGTTCATTACCATAAGAAACACATTAACAATGTTTACTCAATAAATTAGAGTGAACACAATGAATGAGACCTATCAACTATCTACACTCTCGCCAAGGCAAACCTCATCTTGGAAGGCTCCGGAGTCTCTCCTCAGCCACCCAGCATGTTCTGTCCTGCACTAATACTTACTGGAGCCATTCCTCAACCATGCATCAACAGATTCTAATGTCTGCCTAATGTCACTTTTCTCACTAAATTGTTTTTGTTTTGGAAAAAAATCATTATATAATGCTACATATATAGTATGGAATGGCTTATTATTATTTTTAAATGAATTAAATATTTTATTTCTCAATTTCAATTTCTAATATGATTAAATGCATACATACATCACTTTTTAGAATCTGAATAAGCTTAAGAGTGGAAAGTGGTCCTGAAACATTTGATAACATCTGTCAAGTTCCTTACCTTCTTCAATCCCTAACTCCCCTTCTCTGCCCATATGGTGGGCTTGGGTTAATTCCCCCTTCCTATCCCCGTTCACCACCCCAGCTCTTCTGCAGTGCTCTGACATCCCAACCTTTTACCAAGATCCTGGTTTCCCACCCCTGCATAGACTTTCTATAAAACCCATTGCCAACCCCCCAAATGTCTTATCTTTACACCTCCCTGGGGCCCCAGCATGCTGGGCTTTAGTTTAGGGCTGCTTCAACCATTCATTGTGGAACCACTTCAAGCACATCAATTTCCTTCAAAAGTTTTTCTGAAATATTTTCCAATCTTCTATATATTTAGGGACTTTTGGTGCACCAAATTGTGTTCATGATACTCCTTAGTATATGACACATTGATGCCATTTGTCCATGAAGGCCACCCTTTAAGTTTTCCTCTCTTGTTCACCATACCCAATCTCATGTATCCCCTCCCAGAAGTATCCACTCTAGAGTATATTGTTTTCCTCCAATATTTGGCATAAATATATTTAGACTTTGTGTGCCCTAGAAAAAGTGTTATTTTACATGTTTCCAAACCTATATAATGACATTGAATCCAACTTTCCCTCAACATGGTGCTTAATCTTGCCATGATGCCATCTACAAATCTAGTTCATTGCTTCTGACTACTGCAGAGAATTCCCTCGCAGTCAGAGTCCACCTTCCTTAGCCATTTCCCTAATGGTAGATTCTCAGGTGGCTTCCAGTTAGTCCAGGCCTTTGGTACTTGGTTTTCTCACTAAATAAAATTCTCTCTCTCTCTCTCTTTTACAGAATTATTTGATGACTGGTTCTTCAAAGTTTTGCCAACTACCATGATTCCAGTTTTGGGCCATCGCATATGGTCCTGTGAGGAACAACTCCTTGTACATGCTCCTACACCCACCCAGCCTTCAAGGTCCACAATGGCTTAATAAATGGGAGCTATTATTACAAATACTAATACTACCACTGCAGCAGGGGAGGCTACAGAGCACACGATCAGGGTCTCGAAGACACATTTCCCAGCTACGTTACCTTGGGGCTCTGCTTATAGGGCATAGGGATAACCACACATCTCCCAGAGAATTGCTGTGGGTGCAAATGATAGGGTAGGAGCAAGTGCTTTGGTAAAGTAAGACGTGTTGCTGGGTTACCTAATCTGTGGAGGTGGAGAAGAAAGGCAGGGGGAGAAAGAAGGAGGAAAGGCAGAGAAACAGGCACTAGGATGCACGAGGGAGACACTTGAGATACCCTGGGCTCCCAGACTCTTGAATAACAGCATTTATTCCCTAAAAGTGCTGGGAAATTTTGAGCCCAATTCTGTATGTTTACTGGCTGAGTGGTCATGGACAACAACTCTACCTGATTAGTGGTTATTAACCTGGCTACACATTAGAATTCCACAGGGAGTGTTAACAGGTATGGATCTGGGGCCCCACATCTAACCAATTATACCAGACTCTCAGGGGGCTGTGGCCTAGCCCTGAAACAAGCAGCTTTGAGAACCACTGTTCTTCGACCCTATGTGAATCTAGTTTTTTCCTGCCAGTTCATTCCACTGGCCACAAGATGGTGCCCTCTTTCTAGGAAATCTTTGATGTTCACCAAACAGGCAACAATTCATTTTTTTTTCCTATTAATCCTGAAAGAATGGGTTTTAATTTAACAATCTTCACAGTGTCTCATTAAGCATGAATTCTTAATGAATTGGTGTCTAGCTACTTAATGTGTATCCGCTCCCCTCTGCTAGAAACTGTATTGGGCTGGGATGTGTTGTCTACTATTTTGCATCCTTCAAGGGGTTATAAACAAAGTAGGAATTTATTGCTTTATGATCATAATTACTAGTGTCAATAACAACTAATACTCATTCAATCCTTTATCATTTGCAAAATGTTTTTTACCAACTATCCTCAGAATAACTATGAAGTGGGTATGATTATTCTCACCTATAGATGAGGAAACTGAAGCTCAAGCACTGGATCAAGGTCACAAAGCAAAAGTTGGCAGAAGCAGATTCTGCCCCTTCCCATTATGCTCTGATGAGAAGATCAGACACATCATACAGAGCAGCAGTCAATAGCTGGGGACTGGAAAAACAGTCCCAGGTGAGGATGCTTCTCAGAACAACATTTGGAAGATTTCCAAAGCAAGCAAGAGACACAAATATTTTTGAGTTTCATGCCATCAGAGTCAATAGGTCAGTAGACACTGGGCTGAGTGGCCAGCCAAGGTAGCAGGTGTGAGGTTCCTAGAGTCAAGTTGGACAGTCAGCACTTACAAGAAGATAGATTTCAATATTTTTCAATATCTGTTCCAGAAAAATAAATTGTTATAACAATGGGGAAAACTTATCTTCATTCTGCCTTTAGAAAAAGTTGTAAACTCATCTTCAAAGAAAATCTTTTTCTACTAGGAAGTGATGTCTTGTGAAGTTAATGGATATGATGATCATTTAGGAGAACACAAAACACAAGATAGATTTGCAGCCAGAGAGATCACTGCCAAAATTGGTCAGGAATGAAAATTTCAGGGCCTCAGGACCCCAACCACTCTCTGGGTGCTTTTATCACAGATGAAGAGGCGTTAAATGTAGACTCAAGTTACTTAGAGTAGAAAACTATTTTAAGGGCAGTTAAATGGAATTTAACAAACTAGTATTTTGATAATTTCACTGACCCTAATATACATCTTAGCAATTCAGTAAATTGTTTCAGTTATTTTCTATGCCTCAACTTCCCTGCCTGCAAAATGGAGGAACAGTACCAAACTTATGGGATTGTTATAAAGGTCAAACAACTTATTTATAAAGCACTTAGAATCATGCCCAACACACAGTAAGGCACAATGTTAAAAAAACAAATGAATATGAACATATTCTTTTATGTATTTTACAAGCAAAGTTTTTTTTTTTTTTTTCAAAATTCCAAGTAATTTTAAAATGAGGTTATTTGCCCACTTACAGGTAGAAAAATACATTTCAGGAGGACTAAAGTTTTGCCCTTCAGTTGAAATCCGACTGAAAATGCATATAGTTGGTTAAATGCTACTATAGTCGTTTTGGCCTTATGGACATCAGAAGTAGGTTAAACATTCTTTAAGTCTACCAAGTTTGTCTTTTCATTAAGTAAGCCTATCCACTGTCAAAAGAAATACCAGAACAATGCAGTGATTGGATTTTCTCTCTCCTTTTTCAAGAAAAGTTTCCTTTTCTCTCCACTGATTGCTCTTCTATCGACCAAGCTGTCCATCTGTCTGTCTATCCATCCATTCACATTAATATTTATTAAGGGATAGCATAATTGCCCAAAATATATGAAAAGCAAAAAGCTAAGGTTAAAAAAATAAACACTTTATATTTATTGAATTCACCGCAGTGATTCTGTTGTAAGTTCATTTTCACTGAGTTAAAAAAAAAAGAATCAATATTAAAATGATCTTTTTATGAAAGTGTATAAGACACACATGAGTCTTGTATTTGTAAACTGAAATTCAGGTCAAGCTACTTAATTTTTCTAAGCCTCAGTTTTCTTATGTATAAATAAGGATGATTGTATTAACTCTCTGGGATTAACCTTTTATCTGAGATCATGTAAATAACTAGTACTCTAACACAAAATGTTATTTCCTATCCTTTTCTCCCTGACACATAACCTCTTTTTGAATTCACTGTTTCACTGCAATAAAAATATTTTTAAACTACATTTAATTTCCAGAAACCTTGATTTAAACTTTTCTCTATATTCAGGTACCTTATCTGTTAGCTACTTGACTTAAATAGGTTAATATTTTAAATAGACCATGAATAAATTATTAATAAATTAAGCAGATTCAAAGAGTCTACTTATGCTGAAAACTGTACTCATTTATTTGAGCTAACTCACCTGTGCCCACCCTCCAAAAATGCTTGATTTTTCACAAAACTGTGTATTTCATTTTTTCCCTTATTATTACTTTTTTTTGAAAGATGATTTAGGCTCTTGTCACAGCCTCAACCAAGTTCCCATCTGTGATAAAAGTTAGCAAAGTCAGGTTGTACTTGAATGAATCAGGGGATGACCTCAACGCAAAACAAATTGGATTTTATTTAAGTAGGCTGGTCAAGTATTCTTTCCATTGTACTCTTAGGTTCACCTCAGCACAGAGGCAGTGGCAAGGGTGTGGAGTGGCATTATACACCCAGAGCAAATGCGTCTGGCAGAGCCTCTTTACCCTGGCCTCAGATGACAGGAGTCTACTCTGCTGCTTGGTGTGTCCAGGACTTGACTCCCTCCCTATACACTCTCACCAGGGCATTCCTTTTATCTGTCTTCCTACTGGCATCACACTTGGGGATCTGCATGTCAGTTGGAAGTTAACACCCTTGCTCCATATTCTATGATGTCATGATCCTTGATTTTTTTTTTTTTTTCAGGCAACATTGTGTCACTGGAGATCAGGTCCGCCTGCCAAACTTGATCTCAGGGTAAAAAATATATTCAGTGTCAGGGGAAAACCTGAAGGCCTGGGAGATTTATTATAATTTATCACCAAAAAAATTACATGTAAAAGTTGATCTTCTCATTATTCCTTTTAAGTTCATAATAAAATCAGAAAGCAATCTTTGCTTTGAATTGAAATGGAGGGCTTTTTCTCCTTCTCATAGAAGATGTGTTTCTCTCATGCAACTATTCTGTAGCTGAAGCTCAGAGATTTCCAGACACTCTGTGTGTGGGGAATGAGGGGGTATGGAGGAAGTGGTCAAGGTTCATTTGCGTTGCTTATATGAAGCTAAAATGTCTGATTCCATATTAATCTTTGGGAGTGCTGATTTTAATTTTGTGATGCACAAATAAGGCCAAATAAATAGGGAAAAGTAGACCTATAAAAAATGGCTTTAACTTACTAATCCACTACATCTCTGACAGCAATTTTAGATAAAAATGGTCCAGAGGACAAAGTGCATAATTAATGATGAGAAAATGATTCCTTCAAGTTCCATAATAAAGAGTTCTCCCGGCACTAGTCATTTATCCAGAGTTATATTCATGCCAAAGTGATGGTTACTTCTTGCTTCTGTCCCCTTCATCCCAGTACTGTTCAGTCTGCATTTCTGTGAGACGGGAAATGGTACGCTGAAATGCAAAGATTTCCTCTTCTCCAGTAAACATGGAGAGTCCTTCTGCTGAGCTCTGTTACCAAAAACACAAAGAAACAAACAGAAAGCCCAGCATCAGTGAAAACCACCACAAATGAAAATTTATAGAAATAAGTACAGATTTAAAACAATTTTTTAGGCATTCCTGTTTACATGAGAAAATTTCTATACTTTTCTTCATATATAATCTCTTAAGTTAGACTAGAAATCAATTTGTAGTATATACAAAAAACAAACAAGTGTGTCACCTAAATAAAACAAAAAAAATGACAAAAAAAAAATCAAGATAAAGAAAGCATATAATGCCAAATTGGTAAAATGAACAATGAAAAAATTAAATACATGTGTGTTTCTGTGAGTGTATGACTAGGTGAAAGAGGATGTGAAAGAAGGGAATAAATGCCAGAATCCCATAAACCCATGTATATTCATATGGAAAGAATTATTAAGTGAAAAGAATAAGTTGCATAACAAGAGGTATCATTTGCTTACATTTGCATTTAAAAACATATGTCTATATGTACATATCTAAAAATACATAGAATATGTCATAAAAGACACCAAAATCTTATTTTGGTAAGACCTTTTTTCCTTAAGAAAAAGATAAAATGGGGCCTCCCCGGTAGTGCAAGAGGTTAAGTCTCAGCACTATGAAGCTATTGACAGCCACTGCAGCAAGAGTTTGATCCCTGGCCAGGGAGCAACCCACATGGTGCAGCAGACCTCTTCTGCCTTGCCCGCTGCTCCCCTCAGCAGTGTATTTCAGTCAGTCTGCCTGTTTCTGCTCCCCACTCCATCGCTAGTGAATCTGCTCATCCACACCCCACACCTCTGGGCTGTGCCCCAGGCTCTCGTATGCATAAATAAATAAAATAAATCATCAAAAAAAAAGCAAAAGATAAAATGGAACTACAAGCAGATAAAATTGAGGTATTACAATTTAAACCAACTATCAACTATGCAACAGTGTGTTTTGTTTTGTACAATGAAAATCTATAAGCAAATTTATGTTACTTACAGTAGGTGTTTAATATATAATTTTTAAAGAAGTTTTAAATGTAGTGCTTTTTTCTTACTTTGTTATTATTTTTTGGACAATATTTGATTTCTCCACTTGAGGTGGTCATGTAGTTCTCCCACCACCAAAGACCCCATAGTCCATCACCATAGTTCCTCAAAGACACCAAAATATTAATGACAGGTAACTTCTAGGGAGAAGAGTCTATGGAGGAGGGGGGAAAGGGTGATGAATTAAGTTTACTCTTCATTTCATATAGTTTCAAAATGTTTCTTTTTTTCCTTTCAAAATGATGGTAGGTTGCATTTACAATAAATTTTAAAATAAAAATTAAAAAATAATAAGCAGAACAAATCTGAAACAACATTCAAAATCCAAATACTAAATGTTTCCTTAGATGAAAGTTCTCTGCAAAATCTGAATTCTAGATAAAAAAAGGTATTCTTTCTCCAAAAGTTCACACCTGAAGTAACAGCAAAAATTCAGCAGTTCTGGAAAATTAGGAAGAGACTTGGCCCTCCTCCGAAGCTTCAGAAACAGGACCACTCTATCCCAGGACCAGCCTCTCAAGAGCCTTTTCCAAAGTGGATGACTGAGAGGTACCCTGTGGGGCCTAGACATTGTGATTGTGACCTTACTTTGGTCTTAAATTGCTGGGACACTTGATCCTCCCATTCAGGGTTAAGTTGGGGAGACCTCTGTGGGGCCCTGAACAGCTTGGGACTGGTGATTATAACATGAGTTTGCAGCTACTAAGTGGGCGCTGAGTTTTTGCCTCTTTCCTTAGGGGGTTGCTATTATACTCTTTCAGAAAAGAGTTCTGGACTCCTAAGTCCCTGCTCCCCACTGACCCACTGTAAGACTGCATGGCCCTACAGGCCCATGTCCTGATTGCTTCGTGTATTATTAGTGCCACGTGCTAAACTTTTCCCCTATATCTGAACCATGATCCTGGGGGGAGGGGAGAGCTGAAGAGCAATGATTTAAAGGACTTTAGAAACTGACATAATGTAGCTCCTCAAGTATATTCTTTCAAATTGTCAAAGAAAGTATATAAATGTATGTATTGCTTTCAGAGAACCATCATTTCAAAAGATGCCACCATGTGGGTTTATTTCTACACATAGGCTTAAGTAATCATATTTTGAAAGTTCACTTTTTGAAGAATTTTTTTGTTTCATTCTCCCAAACTCCTGAGAATACAAAATTTCTACTCAAAAAGGAATTGTTTATTCATTCCAAATGGCCTTACCTCTGGGGTTGGAAGAAAGGAGCACCCCTCATTTAAGGGATGAGTGTTTAGATAGTTCTAAAATTTTGACGATTTCAATTGTCTGTAGTTGAGAAATATACTCTGCAATGTTCAAACAGAAGAAGGAAATGCACAGTCACTTCTGCTTGTCCTGGGGTGAATGATCACACCCCAATATCAGAAAAATTGGGTCAGGGTTCACTGTGTTCCCTACAGTGTTCCCAGAGCAGCCCCATAAATATATGCTAAGTAGAGGTTGGGAGATAAATCGTGGATTTCTTTTTAAGTCAAAGGACTTGCTAGGCATACCATGGTAATGGAGTAGCCAGCCCACATGCTTAGCCATACCCTTGACAGATCCAGCAGACATGAAGAGCAATTTCCAGCTAGGGCAGAATGAACCTGGAAACAGATACAGGGGCTCTTGCCTCCAGTTCTGACCTGCCTTGTGTCAGTAGTGGGATTAAGGGGCCCATTAGTCCATTTTTTCTGGATTTTATTTATATCATAATACAAAAATGATCATTAAGGTCCCTTCCAGTCTAAGACTGTAATTTCCTATATTTAGTGATATTGAGACTACATCTGCTATACTGGCTTTAAGAGAAAGCAGCAAATCAACAGTTAAATATATACTGCATTCCTTCTTCAAAATGTTGCCATGTATCAAACCAAAAACAATTAAGCTGTTTTATAATAAAAAGAGATTATGTTAATATCGCCTACCTGGCTCAGCCCCAAATCATCCATCAGTATTCTGCTTTGCTCCAACTCACTGTCATGATGTTGAATCAAAAATAAGCTTGATATAGGAGTCGATGCAGAGCAAATTATGCGCACCTGAAATAGAGGAAAATGAGTAAATGGTGTTATTCTTTCTATTTCACAAGTTGACGGTAAGAACAAAACTCTCAAAAAATAGAAATCTGTCATAACAAGGAGCTTGGATTTTTGCTTTTACAATGTTCATGTTTTGTTTTTGGTTTTTTTTTTTTTTCCTAATAATGTGTCTCTTGAGAGTGGTATTTTAAAACTACATAGTACTTTTCAAAATATTTCCACACCGCTTACAACATTCTGCAGAGTAGGAAGAGAAACTTCAGGCCTGGAGAGGTCTCTACTCGTGATGCCAACCCAGATCTTCCAGGTCTGAGCCATCCCATCCTGAAGTTGATGTTCATACCTGGCTGTTGGGAGTCAGCCCTGAGTGCATCCAAGAGGCCCCCCGGATGCACCATGAAGAGGCCTCCACTTTGCTCCATAGGTGACTGCTAAGTTGAGTGATCATTACTCCATTTACTCCTGAGTTTCCAGAATCTACATTTATACCAGCATTCTGCCAAGACATTGTTCAAAAAGACTCTCTCTGTTAACATTTCTTGATTACATAAGTGTGCTTATGTGATCCTATTGATATATTGGGCTAAGTTCTTTTATCTTTATAAACTTTATGTCCACTAGTTTAAGTACAAAATCTATCCTTCTTGATTTTCGGGATTCATAGCAATCCTTTAAAAATCATTATTTAAACAAATATGGCAGTACTTTAAAATAAAGTACTGCCATTTGGGACTAGATTTTCCATATTCAAATGGATGCCTGCCTCCTCATAAACTCTAATTACAAATGACACTTTTTTTTAAAAAAGATTTATTTATTTATACAAGCACTGGGATACAGGCCAGAGGCACAGGAGGGTAAGAGAATTCACCAGAGACAGAGCAGGGAGCAGAACAGGCAGAAGGACTGAAGTATACTGCTGAGGGGAGCAGTGGGTGAGACAGGAGAGGTCTGCCTCGCCATGTGGGACTCTCCCTGGCCGGCCGGGAATCGAACCAGCACTGCAGAGGCTGAGGAAAGTTTCACAGCGCTGCGCTCAACCTGCTGCGCCACTGGGGAGGTCCACAAATGACACTTTTTAAAAATTATTATTTCAATGGGAATGTCTCTATTTCAGTAATTCCCATGAATACATTCTAGAAGAACGTCTGCTTAATGTTCCCAATTTCTGAAATAAAATAGTTTTGACTGCTTAATTTAAATTTTTTAAAAAAGAATATGAGCTCTAAATATGTGATTTAGTGAAAGTAAATGTGAGGAGAATTGTTCTGGTATACCACCATATTGCCAGATAAATAAATCTTTTTTTCTTTAATTACAAAGGGAAAAAGTGCAGGCAAGGTAGAATTAAGAGCTGGGACTGAGAGATAGGAGCCATAAGCTTTCTTTAAGGTATTCTTAGCTGAAAAATCAGCCAGTAAGTTTCAATCCACCACTGTAAGAACCACTGACTAACCCTCTACCACTTTCTTCCTGAAGCATTAGCCATCCATAAGCAGAGTGCCACCTCCAGGCTCACTCCCTTCACTCCAGTGCCCACATGGTTATTTCAGAGCAGAGTCTGATGACCCAGAAGCAGACCACTGATGAGTGATGGGACTTGAGCTCTGGAGTTCTCAGTTCCCAGCCTCTCTTCACTCCCTGACCACATGCATGTCAGCCCCATGAGAATCTGCGGTAGGTTTGATGTCACCCACTAAGGCAGTGATATTTGTAGATGCACCATGACCATGGGGGCTGACCTGTCTGTTCATCACAGAGTCTGGGCCACAAATTCCCCTTTCAACCTGCACTGGAGTTCAGCCATCACTTCTCAGTGTTTATAAGAAGCACTTGAGGAGCTTAGGAATAGACAGGTTCCAGGCCCCATCCCTGATGCTCATTTGCAGAGGTGGAGGTTTGTGGGTTCTAGAATCCAGATCTTAAGCAGATGGTTCTAGAGCAGGTGGTCTTTGGCAGGACATCTCCATGTCCATCCCGACCCCCTCCCTGAAAAGGTCAGTCTACTCTCCCTCTGGACTCCCATTGCAGCAAACTCCCGTTTCCAAGAGATCATCCATCCCATAGTGGTGACTTTGTACTTGTTTCTGTGGACATTAGATGAATGAGTCTCTAATACTAGACTTTAAGCTCCGTGAAATCAGGCACCACATCTTGCTTCATCATTGTGTTTGGTGTGATAATGGTTGTTGAATGACAGATTGAATAAATGAAACATTAAAATCTTACCTCTCCCTCTCAGCAAATACTGGTACTTTCCTACTCCCCTCAAAGTCCCTTCAATTTTTTTAGAACCACTGCTCTATTTCTATACAAGGAATAGGGAGAAGAAATATATCTAACAGTAAAATGAACTAATTTGAAGTTTTACTTATTACTTTTGCTACAAATACATGTTTACAGATATATATTATTCATAGTGACTAGCCTGCACTGAAAATTTCCTATATACCATGTTATGTTCTAAGTACTATTTAATCTACACAAGTGCATGAGATAAGTACTGTTATTACTCCCTTCCCTACAGAAGATAACAGAATCTCAAGAGTCTGTTCCCAGAGTCTACTCCTTAACCACTTGGCCTACTGCCTCCAGTGGATGGACAATGGCTGTGTAATTCATGCCACAACACATGAATAAAAGGACAAACAAGGGCCTCCCCTGGTGGTGCAGGCGGTTGAGCGCAGTGCTGTGAAGCTGTCCGCAGCCTCTGCAATGCCAGTTTGATCCTGGCCGGCCAGCAAGGGTCCCACACGGCCAGGCAGACCTCTCCTGTCGTGCCCACTGCTCCCCTCAGCAGTGTATTTCATCGGTCTGCCTGTTCTGTTCCCCACTCTCTCTCTGGTGAATCCTCTCACCCTCCTGCACATCTGGCCTGTACCCTGGTTCTTGTATAAATAAATAAATCTTTAAAAAAAAAAAACAGGACAAACAAGATGGTAGCATGCTAGTTATTGGGGTTTCTGGGCCCTAAGAAAAGAAAGTTCCATACTGAGAAGGGTCCTTGGTCAATTGTTCTTTTGTTTATGCCCTATTTTTATCAGTCCAATAATTTATTTATGAAACCAAATTCATTGAACACTCAATCTAGGTAAGGCACTGTGTTGTACAACATCACAGACAGAGCACATGATGTGTCTGGCTGAATGATGGCGTCACATAGCAGTGTCCCATTGTGGGCATCTCACGCTGCCATGACGGCTACTGCTGCTCCTTACCAGCACTCAGCTTGTGCCATGTGTTTTAAATGCTCTACATGGATTAGCTTATTCCTCACAAGAATTCTCTGATGTAAATACTATTATTATTCCTGACTTGCAAATGAGGAAAATGAGTCACAGAGAAGTCAAGTAAGCAGTAGATGAGGATTCCAGGCCAGGGAATCTGGCTCCACAGCCCCAAAGGTAGAGCTTTGAGAAAATGGACAGCATCCTTACCTTGAAATCATAGAAGTTATCAATGAGAGTAATGAATCTTCGAGCTTGAGTCCTTTTTGCCAATGAAAATTGTGGAATGTTTCGTAAAATCACTGTATCGAAATTCTTTGATAGTTCCAAGTAATCACTGGCTCCAAGTGGCTGTAATTAAAATGAAATAAAAATAGAAAATGAAAAAGCAGCCAATCCTGCTCGCCCTTGGACTAGTTTAATTTGAAAACACCCCTTTTTCCTGTCTGGTATAATCTAGCTGGTAACTTTGGGGTCACTGGACCAAATCACGCTGTGTTCAGAGTAGGCTATGGTTGGAGTAGACTTAATTGTATTAATGATGTAAAAAGGGAGCCGAGACAGAAGATATATGGGAGTGAGACTCTCGTCACCTCAACTGGTACCTTAGAAGTCCCATCCTAAATCCAGTCTTCAGGGCCTCCCCGGTGGCGCAGCGGTTGAGCGCTGGGTTGCAAAGCTGCCCGCAGCCTCTGCAGCACCGGTTCGATCCCCGGCTGCTCCCCGGCCACCGGAGGAGGGTCTCACATGGCGCGCAGACCTCTCCTGCCGCCCACTGCTCCCCTCAGCAGTGTACTTCGGTCCTTCTGCCTGCTCTGCTCCCCGCTCTGGCTCTGGTGAATTCTCTCACCCTCCCACGCTTCTGACTGTACCCAGTGCTTGTATAAATAAATAAATAAATAAATCTTAAAAAAAAAAAAATCCAGTCTTCAATCTTTTTTATTTAAATCACATAATTTTAACTACATCCTAACACATTCTTTCCATAAGTCTGCAAAGTCTCACAAATGTTACATGGAGCTCTCTTATCATGGCATTTGAGCATTATGTCAGCATCTTGAAATAAAGGCGATGCTTCAGTATGAATTTTTCATTGGATGTGAGGTACCCTCACTCAGGTGCAGTATTGCTACCTCTACAGGAAACACTAGAGGGCTTCTGTGTCCAGAAGGAAGCTGAGGTCTCCATTTGGTGCAGCATGCAGCCTCTGATATGAGGTGTGCATAGCCTTGAGGGTCATGATATCGTTCCCAAAGATGCCACGTGCAGAGCTAAACACCTGCTCCTAAAACACGAATTTAACTTATGAAAATTATGAAAGCTATCTGCAAACACATTCCCTGTGTTTTGCAGGAGGAATTACTTCTCAGTTTAAGTGTGGGTGACTATATCATGGGTGCAGGGGTCAGGAAAATGTTTCTGGTCCTGCTAGACTGTGGAGACCAGAAATAGTGGGCCAGGTGCCTCTGCCAGCCCCTGCATCTTTATAATCAACCCTGGGAGTGGAGCCGCCTCAATTTCTGACATCATCCATCAACACTACTCTTTGACCAGAAATGTCTTGCTCACTTGGGGGGTTGTTTGCATTAAAACTTCTTTCAGAAATGGAGACATGGCTTTGTTCCTGGGAGAATCAGGAATAGTGAGGAGAGCATGCTCATCTTCAGATCCATTCACTTAAGTCTACCTTTTCCTTAACTAGCTGAAATTCAACTCAGGAAGGAAAGACCACCTCTCGTGGAGTTACGAGAGAGAAGAGTTACTTAGAGAAGTCATTCCCTCAAGAGAGAGCAGTACTAAGAAGGATGCAACAATTATAAGACGTAAGATGGGGGGCAAAAGCCAGAGAACACAGGAATGACCTGAAGCCTTTGGGAAACTGCTTAGAGATGTCTCCTCCCACTGAGATGCCCAGGGTGACTGAAATTCATCTCCCAGCTTCTCTCACCAATAAGGCTGATGATAAATGGGGCCAGAAGGAGATACTTTGTCTTTCCCTATCCCTTCCCCTGCTGCAGTACCTTGACCTCTGCACCCAGGGCCTAACTCCAACTCCTCTGCTCACCTCACCCATGTACAGGCTTGAGTAGGTGCACACAGACATATAGAGATATACATATAGCTGTTTTATTTTGTGTCTAGCCTTGACTCTCTTACAAGGAAACCCTGTTGTCAAGTTTGATACAGGCCAGGAGCATGTGTTAAAATAGAGTAGCCACAACAAGGCCATAAATGTCTGGGTTTGAATCCTCACTGTTACTTATTAACTGTGAGCCTTTGGCAAGGTATTTAGTATTTCTGTTCCTTAGTTCTGCCATCTCTAAAATGGGAACTTGATTCTATCTCACAGGATTGTGAGAATTAAATGAAATAGGTTAAGCATTCAGCACGGTGACTACAGCATACATTAGCACGCCAACCATTTTGAATGCTTTTTATTTTTGTTTATTTTGAGCTCAAATGATTGGGCTCAGTATAATGAGGGGGTAAAGAAATGTGATTCTCAATAGGATCAGTTAGTTTTGCTCCATGACTAACCATATCCCAAACCCTAAATCTGCCTTTGTGTGTATCCTCAGTGTCACAGAGGGACCAGATGAGACAGTAGAAATCTCATGTAGTGAAAACAAGTCCATAAGGGGGAGAGGGAAGGCAAGATAGTGTGTCTTCATGTAAAAAGAATAATTCAGACAATAACACGTTTGTGCTCTGAAAGTGACACACACTACTTTTTTGAGCTCAGTTAGTACTTAGTGTCTCATCTTTTGCAAATCAGAAAGTATGGTGTAAAAAAATGTATAATCGCATCTTTGGTATGTAGTTATGTGTAATTAAGCTCACTGTTTATGCATGGATGTGATTCCTATCAGTATAACCACATGCCCAAGGAAAATCATTATTAGAAGTGCACTGAAGTGTCTAGGGCAACTGAAAATCAGAATTTTGCCCACTCAGCTATTTTTACAAATTATATACCTTTGTCAGTAGGTTCTAAACTTGCCATTATATTAGCAAATATCCCTTTCCTTTGTATCCCTAAAACAATTATGTGCTCACTCACATAAAGATAACTAAGCTTAATAGCTCTCTCTCGAAAAACAATAGGCATGGAGGGTGGTGAGGAGTTACTGTATAATGGATACAGTTTTGGTTTAGAATGATAAAAAAGTTCTATAAATGGAGGATAGGGATGGTTACACAACAATGTGAAAACAGGCTACTAAACCATACACTTAAAAAATTATTAAAATGGTAAGTTTTGTGTTATATATTATTTTGCCACAATAAACAGTTAAAATAAGGAAAGGTTATTATTTGCCAAAGAAATCCCAATTTAGGCCATGGAGAGAGAGTAATATACCTATAGTCACTTTTTTTTTTAAAAACTTAAGAAAGTAGAAGGGGGGACTAAAAATAAATAAATAAATAAATAATAAAAAATAAAATCTTGAGAAAGTAGAATGAAATGAATTAGCTGAAGAAGAAAGTCTTTTCCCAATAGAAATCAGTTCCAATAAGATTAAGATTAATTTAAAATATGAAGGCTTTTTTTCCAGTAGATACTTGAAGAGCGTGTTTCTCATACTGGCTTCAAAGTTGAAGTGACACTCAAACACACTTTCAAGATTAAATTTGGTGAGAGATGGGGGGGTTCTTATTCATCAGAAAAGCTATTTTTCATAATTAAATGAGTTCAACAGTTTTGAACAAAAATACTGCAGAAGCTTTGGAACCACTGGTCTGTCACTTCCTGTTCTGTGACCTTGAGCAAGACTCTCTGAACTACCTTTACCTCATCCACCAAAGCAGGGTCAGAACAGAACCTGTCTTATAGGTCTGTCTGGAGGATTCCAGTTGTTGACTATATGTAAAATCAAATAAAATATTTAAAATATCTATAGATAACCTGTAAAATTTTATCACAGTGGCCATCACACAGTAAGTGCTGAATAAATGTTAATTTATGGAGAGCATGTGAGATATGTCATTTGGTAATACTAATAGCACCACATGTGGGGGGTGTGGGGAAAGACCCAGGTCCACATAAGAAAAGCCCTTAACCCAGTACATGGCACACATGAAGTGCTTAAAATTTCTTGAATTAGTGAGTGATTGCATGGATAAAACACAACATAACCTGGGGACAATTCTATTCCTTTTTCAAATGCTTTTTTCTCTCTTTTTCCTAGTTGGCCTAAATTCCCTACCTTCACACTCACTTTACTGTATAGTCTAGTATATATGTAGGAAAGAGTCTAGAAAAATGAGAACACAATGTTAGCAGTGATTATTGGGTAGTGGAAAACAAGGTGAATTTTGCATCTTTGTTTTACTTTTTAAATTCCCCCTCCCCCGTCTCCAGTGAATTTGTATTACTTTTTTTTTTTTTAAAGATTTATTTATTTATGCATACAAGAGCTGGGTACAGGCCAGAGGTGTGGGGGGTGAGAGGATTCACCAGAGACAGAGTGGGGAACAGAACAGGCAGACTGACTGAAATACACTGCTGAGGGGAGCAGTGGGCGAGACAGGAGAGGTCTGCTGTGCCATGTGGGTTGCTCCCCGCCCCCCACACTGCGGGCTGGGGATTGAACTAGTGAGGCAGTGGCTTCGGACAGCTTCATAGTGCGGTGCTTAACCCCTTGCACCACCAGGGAGGCCCCTGTATTACTTTCATGCAACAAAACAATAATGCTTTCTTTGGAAGCCATTTTTATAATGCACATATTAATATTTACGTCTCACCAGTGTGAGATCATAACATCAGTTTTGACATGGATATTTCTTTTTTTCCTGTTTTCTTAAATCTGTATTAGTAGAATCTTTTTTTGTGTGTGTGGGACCCTCGCCAGTGGCCGGGGATCCAACTGGCGCTGCAGAGGCTGCGGGCAGCCTCGCAACCCAGCGCTCAACCGCTGCGCCACCAGGGGAGGCCCTTGTAGAATCTTTTTCAGGAAAATTTCAAAAGAAAAGAAAATATGAGCTACACATTTATTTTCTCTTTAAAAGTTTGACAAAAGGATAAAAAATTTGATATTTGGGATGAAATCTGACTTTAGTTATATGTTCACATTCAATTAATGATTTTTCACAGGTGGGCAGCAGGAAAGAGGGAGGGATGTGGTAGAAAGATGGGATTCCTAAAAATCCCACAGTTAGCCCTCACAGCTTAGCACCATAGTACCTCAGACCAAAGAGGTAGTATAGGTGTCCCCTGCTATCTGAAAGCAGAACATTCCTATTTGGTATGACTTAGTAAGTTGTTTTTATCGGGCCTGGAAATGCTGATACCATTAATTTACATGAAGAAATTTTTGAGCATTCTCAGACCCAAAAAATAACACCATATT